TTAGTCGGTTAAGCGTCCGAATTTCGCTTAGGTCATGATCTCACGGTTCGTGGGTTCGAGCGTCACGTCGGGCTCTGTGCTGACTGCCAGCTCAGAGCCTGGGGCCTGTTTCAGTCTGTGACTCCCTCTCTCTCTGACCCTCCCCTGTTCACGCTGTCTCTCTCTCTCTCTCCTAGAAATAAATAAGACATTTAAAAAAAAAAAAAAATAAAATAAAATAGCAGTACTTAATGTGATCTTTCAGTGATTCTAAAATTTAAACAATAAGACTTCCCACAAACCATGTTTTTCCAATAGTGTTTAAATTACTAAACAAATCTTAATTAGAGGTAAGTCAGTTGTAGTCCCAAAGCAAAACTACTTTCCTCTCATCCCGCAGCTCACCCTCCCATATGTGGCCCTAGCACCTCTATCTACTGAATTGTCAGGGAGAAACCTAGGAGTCCTCGGGCTCCTCACTCTCTCAGACCCCATGCCTAGTGCATCATCTGGTCATTTCAGCTCTACCTCTGATACAGATCTTTGACCCCAAATATTTTCATCCTCCACTGCAAGTCCCTTTCATCCAGGTTGTCATCATCTCTTGGGGACTTTTAGAGTAGCCTCTTGGTCCCACTCCAACCTGAAAAACAGATCAGAGCATGTCACTGCTTTGCTCAGAACCTCCTAAGGGTTCTCATAATTCCCCCAAGTTGATTATCACCTCCTCTCCAGAGTTTGTGCCAATAACACTGGTATTTCACCTCCTCAGACAGACTGAACTCATTCCCACCTCTAGGTCTTTGAACTTGTTATCCCTCTGCTCCACCTGGAATACTAGTCCCACTGGCCTTTGGACAGCTTGCTCCCTTGTTTTAATGCAGCATCCTCTCAACTGTCACCAACTCAGAGGGCTTACCTCCCTTGCCTCCCCCACTGTTTTCTATTTCTTCATAACTCGTACTCTACCTGATACATGTTACCTGACTATAATCCACTTCTACCACTGGAGAGTAAGCCCAAAAGAGCAATGATTTTTGACTGCTTAGTTCACTGCTACATCCCCAGTACTCAGAAAAGTTTTTAGCACATATCAGGTGCTCAGAAAGTATTTAGGCAATAGCTCTGGCCACCAGTAATTTCTACTAACAACAGAAAACCTGGCTTAGAGTTTCATCTGTGCTGCTTAGTATTTTTATACCCTAGATAAGTCACTTAGTTCCTTAAGGAAAGGAAAAATAAATACTATGTCAGCAGTTACTAAAAGGATCAAATGAGGGGTGCCTGGGTGCCTCAGTCAGGTAGATCTCTGACTTGGGCTCAGGTCATAATCTCACTCATGGATTTTGAATTTGAGCCCAATACCGGGCTCTATGCTGACAGCTCAGAGCCTGGAGCCTGCTTTGGATTCTGCCTCTCCCTCTCTCTCTGCCCTTCCCCCTTCTCGCACATCAAAAATGAACATTAAAATTTTTTAATTTTTATTTTCAATTTTTTAAAGGATCAAATGGTAAGATGGGTGTGAAGATCTTTTTCATAAAATGGGAAACTGCAGGGTCACCTGAGTGGCTCAGGCAGTTAAGCATCAGACTTTTAGTATTGGCTCGGGTCATGATCTTGGGGTTTGTGGGTTAGAGCCCAGAGTTGGGCTCTGTGCTGACAGTGAAGAACCTGCTTGGGATTCTCTCTTTCCCTCCCTCTCTCTGAAAATAAACTTTAAAAGGCGGGGGGGGGGAATTGCAAATAACAATCTTTGGCACTCAGAGAAATATACAAATAAAGTAAAAGTATACTCATTTGGAAATCTGGTCCCAGTTCTAAAGCTAACAAAGTAGTCCCACTCATTCCATTCCAAATACTTTTTACTAGCTGACAGTAATAACATACTGCATAGATGAAATACTACCTTATAATGTTAAATACATAAAACAACCTTGGGACAAACTACTTGGTTGTGATGACTTTTGTTAATGTGCTGTGTAATCGGATTTAGTATTAAGATATTTTGGGGGGCACCTGGGTGGCTCAGTCGGTTAAGCGTCCGAGTTTGGGTCAGGTCATGATCTCACGGTTCGTGGGTTCCTGCCCCCTGTCGGGCTCTGTGCTGACAGCTATTTCAGAGCCTGGACCTGCTTCTGATTCTGTATCTCCCTCTCTCTCTGACCCTCCCCTGCTCGCTTGCTCTCTGTCTCTCAGAAATAAGTGAAACATTAAAAAAAATTTTTTTTGTAGTATTAGGACTATCTGTGACTTTCCAAGGATTAAATAGTTGGACATAAATGCAATTTCTATCTGTGGAATATGAAATTATAGCTAATAGAATTATACTGGCAAATATCTATAAAAACAAAGTAAAAATATTGGTAATGAGCAAGTAGTCCCAGATAGAATAAAAATAGAATAAAAATGGGAATATAAATACAAGAATCTTAAATCTTTGTCTCTCCTAAACTAGGAAAACTGAAACCATGGGGACAAGCTAAAGAAAATAATTCTCTGAAGGAACATGTAAACAGAGTTAGCTTCCACAAGAAAACTTACAAACAACCTCCTCTCCAGACTAGGTGAGTACATAATTATGCAGGTCTATAGTTCTTTTAATGTTGAAAGACTACAGACAAAAAGAAAGCCTCTGAGGGACAGAAAGTTTGAGTAATAGTGGTATTTAAGAAGAGTAGTAGTAGAATCACATATAGAACTGCCTAAAGGTATATGTGCTTAGGACCCACCACAGTGGTTTCTCATTCGGTAAGTGGGAGGTGGGGCCAAAGTAACCACACTGTTTCCAAAGCTCTATAGGTGATACAGAAGGGGACCCTGCTCTCGTACAGGACCCGCTGGCCCAAACAGTGCACCTGGACCTCCCTCTAGCCACCATTCCAAGTGCCCAGACCACCAGATAGATGTAAATTTCTTCACTCCCAAGGAAACCAGGCTTACTAGGCTTCAAGGCCCTACACTAGAGGAAATCCCAGAATGATCCTAAGAGGCTTCCTTCTGCGTGAAAACCATGTTGAAAACAGAGCTTGCCGTGGCCTTCGGCAGGTGCTAGTGGAGTCAGCCCCCCCCCATCAAACTCTCCTGATGCAGGGTTGCCCATTATCTGAATTGCCTATAGCCAGCTGCCACCAAGACCTTTACTAACTTCGCTATTAAGATTAGCATAGGAACACCTGGCTGGCTCAGTCAGAAGAACATACAACTTTCAGTCTCCAGGTTGTGAGTTCCTTCACATTGGGTGTAGAGGTTACTTCAATAAAACTCAAAAAAAAAAAAAAAAAAATCATTAACATGATCTTGAGACCCTCCCTGTCTGAATCCCCAATCGCTTCCAGAAAAATACACTGGCTTCATTCAGTAGACCATGATTCTAGTTCAGGCACTTTTACCAGACTATGATTTTGAGCCTGACCTCCGACTTCCAAAAGTAGAGATTTCTCATTTAAAACAAATTAAGGCACCAAGGTGCCTTATGTCCCAGTTTCATGCTTCATTGTAGGGTGCTGCTTTAACATAAAAGGAAAAATACCAGTTTCTAGCCCTTGTACACAAATGACTTACAGGTGTGGCTTCTATCCAGCAAGCCACTAGAAGACAGTGTCCTGTCAGAGCGTGTTCATCCAAGTGTGCTGGAGGTCAGTGTAAGCTTGGACGGGAGTGTGACAACAGGTGCTTTAACAACAGGTACTCTGGATTCTTGCAGAGCTTCACTAGAGCCTAACGTGTATCTGTCCCTCTTTAGGGAGGAACAACGGAAGCAACATGAGCAAAAACGAAAGGAGAGAAAAGCAAAGGTTTTGGGAGCTCGAAGAGGCCTCATTATGGCTGAAGATTAATTTTTTGGTGTCTTGTAAATATTACCTTATTCTGAATCCTTTTTGTAAATATTTTTCTGTCTTCCCCACTTTAATCAAAAGACCTTTTTCTGTTCTTTGTTCACTATCTATGTAGGGTCAGTGGGTTAACATGCTACATCTCTGAAGACATTATTAACCTTAAAGCTCACATAGTCTTTAAGTGGTTTTTACTTAAGTCTCTGTACAATTCAGTTTTGAACGGAGACTACGACTCTAGATTCTTAACCTAGATTTTTCATGTGAAGTTCCCTCCGCTGATTCTAATATTAACATAAGTGCAATCCTGTTCTAGGCAAAAGCACTTACCCCGATGGTAGGTAGTTCTACCAGAAGCTTAAGTAGAAACTGAACCAATAACAAGTTATGAGTAGGCTAAGTTGAGAAAGTTTACCTCTTGCTCCTCTAGAGAATCTAGTAGTTGTAATGAAACTGGGGGCCATATGGGTTGGTTATGGGATTAATATTCCACCTATGTGAAGTGTCTGGTTACCTATGCACATTCATTCAGATCACTTGATGTAACTGCCATCTGTCACTTAACATATTCTTAAAAACTCTATTGCTCATTCTAGCCTTGCTTATTTAAAAACAAAGAGGGCTGTACTGAAATCTGAGGATTGCTACTTCAAGAATCATTATGCTCTTTGAAACTGACCTCTTAATTCACTTTATGAAAAAAGATTGGAGTTGTTTAGCACCATAGCCATGCTTGTTGCAGCTAGGTAGAGCTTCTGAGCTTTGTACTAATTAAGATTTTCCTAACTGTTTTCTCATGGTGGTAGCTGGATTCTTTGTAAATAAACGGCTTCCAAGATTGAGTTGACCAGCTAAGATTAATAGGCGTCTACTTGTACTCCTTGTGCATCCTTTCCTGACCTCCTCTTCCCACCCTAAGAAATGACCATGTCCTCCTTTTGTATTTTTCACAGCACCTGTCCAATTCTGTTACACTTAGACATGTGAACCCAGAGAACACTGACATATACTCCTGGGTGTTGAATATATTCAGATTTTGCTATTACAAAGGCAGAGATCATTGGGAAACAGGCTGGTAGTGTATTAAATATAGGTCTACCATATGAGCCAGCAATTTTCCTAGATGTATACATATACATACACACCAAGAGAAGTAGAATCACATATCCACACAAGAACTGTAAATACTGTAAATACCATTTACAGCAGTATTTTTCATTGTAGCCAAAAAGAGAAAATCTAGCTGTCCGTTAATGAACAGATTAAAAGTTATTAGTACTTCATTCCTTTTTAGTACATCATAACATGATACAACATGGGTGAATCTCAAAGACATTATGCTAAGTGAAAAGCTGCCAGACATGAAAGTTCACATTACTATCGGATTCTACTTGTAGGATATATCCAGAGAAGATAAACCTATGGAGAAAGTAGATCTGTAGATACCTGATATGGGAGATGGAGTGCCTGGCTAGAGCACTCAATTAAGGTTTCTTTTTAGGCTCCATAGAATTTTCTAAAATTAACTTATACTATGGATTGACAATTCTGTGAATATACTAAAAATCAGTGAAGCGTATAGCAATCTTTAGCAGTCTCCTTTCCTCAAGTGAAGGGTTAGAAAACACAAGAAAGCTATAACAACTTGTGCAGGAATAGTTCCTAACAGGAATCATTCTAACCCAAAACAGTTAAGTTCTTTACATCAGGACTTGTATTCTTTAAGCTGAAGTATAGCTTAGAACCTGATTGCATGCTCTGTCTCCCTCTATCGGGCTTTTCTTGGCCACAGGATTTAGCTTTGTCTCAGGGAACACATACCAGCCATTAGTGGGAAGCCGCTAAAGAAAAATTATTTTGTCTATGTCATCATGGATAATACTTCGTTTGGTAGTACAAAATTACCATATCATTTCTACTACTTAAAAAGTCTTGGGTTAAGCTCTGGAGAATTTTCATAGGCGAATTCTTCTGTGTGGGCTGGATCAGTAAAAACTCCAATAAAATCGATTTCCAGGAAGAATGGACCATCTACTTTATCAGCCAGGGTGAATCCAACAGAAGAGATCTACATTTAAAATAGAGCAATTGATCAAAATCTCATACACAGATATCATTCCTGGAGTTTGCAAGTTCGTGAGGTGATTAATATAGCTGGGTCTTGGGGCACCTAGGTGGCTTAGTTAAGCATCTGACTTCCGCTGGGGTCATGATCTTGCCGTTCATAAGGTCGAGCCCCACGTGGGGCCCAGTGCTGACAGAGCCTGCTTCATACTCTATGTCTCCCTCTCTCTCTGCACCTCCCCTGCTAGCGTGTACGCACAGGCTCTCTCTCCTCTCTCTCTCAAAAATAAACATTAAAATTTTAATATAGCTGGGTTGTTACACTATCAGCCCTCAGCAAGCAAGTACACCAGAGTTCTCAGATGCTGTAGCAAATGGGAAGTGTAGGGCTGATTTTCTACTTCCTCTTCCCTGTCTTCAAAGTAGTGCCCCTTACAACGGGTAAGGTCAGCATGGATGTCTAATGGAGATTACTTCCAGCCCTCTTTAAATCTAATACTTTTCACTTATTTGGAGTTAAAATGTAAGTAGGCTGAAATGATGATGACCATAGGATATTCCTCCAGGATGGAGGTTTGGCTCACAAAGATAGGTCTGAGTCAGCCTCCATGTGGGAACAACAGGGATGGCCTCAAGAAGTTGCAGCTTTCATTTGCCAGCCCTCAAAAATGGACTGAAATGATCCTTACAGGAGTTCTGTTTCATTAAAGGGAACAGTTCTGAGTGAAAGTACAGGAAAATGTTACCTTGTCAAGCAGAAGCTGGTACTGGGCATCCCGGATTCTTCCTTGATTAGAGAAGAAAAATTTGGAGAAAGGAATCTGAAGAAAAAAAAAGAAAAAGCATTTACCTTAGAGCTCAAATGTAAGGAACTGAGGCAGTTGTATGGAATTGCAAAGATAATAGTTTAATGTTATGAATTCTAACGTTATAATTCTAATACATGCAGTTATAACAAGTGGCTAGTCATTAGGATCATAGATAACATTTTTTAAAAATGAAGTATTAGAGGGCTCCTGGGTGGCTCCATAAGTTGAGCTCAGGTCATGATCTCACAGTTTGTGGGTTGGAGCCCCATGTTGGGCTTTGTGCTGATAGCCTAGAGCCTGCTTTAGATTCTGTGTCTCCTCCTCCCTCTGCCCCTCCCCTGCTCAGGCACATACACAGGCTCGCTCGCTCTCTCTCTCAAAAATAAACATTAAAAAAAAAAAATGAAGTACTAGAAAGAAACCAGTAGGGGCACCTGGGTGGCTCAGTCGTTTGAGCTTCCGACTTGGGCTCAGGTCATGTTCTCACAGTTCGTGGGTTCGAACCCTGTGTCGGGCTCTGTGCTGACCGCTAGCTCAGAGCCTGGAGCCTGCTTCAGATTCTGTGTCTCCCTCTCTCTTTGACCCTCTCCTGCTCATGCTGTCTCTCTCTCTCTCGCTCTCAGAAATAAAAACATTAAAAATTTTTTTCTTTTAAAAATAGAAAGAAACCAATATATACCATTCTAAGCCAGAAATCCCAAAGGAAAAATGATAGAGTACAACTGAACTTTCTGACAGCAACAACAAAGGATAAATTAAATATGTGTTAACATTTATGAACAAAAATCTATTAAATACAAAGCTTTAAAAAATAAGATTTAACAACCAAAGGAAACAGGGAAGGGGGAAAACGGGCCCACTTGTATACAGTGGGTATGCGTGCAGACTGGTACAATTCTTAAGAGTGGCCAGCAACTGGGAGGCTCCAAGAGTCCCCCTTCTGTGTACACACACCCTCTTCCAGGTATTCACGCCAACCTCCGCTGCTGAGAAGGGACTGTGCACAAGTAAGGTCCTAAAGCGGAAGACCTTAATGCAGGGAATATTATCCTCTATAGGCACAAGGTAATCACTTGAGCCCATAGGAGGGACTGGCACAAGGGCTTAAGAGTATGAGAGAGATTCAGTGGGCAGAGACCCTCTACTGCTGGCTCTGAAGGTGGAGGAAACAAAAACGAAAGGCAAGGAATGCAGGCAGCTCCTAGGAGAGTGGTGCTCAGCGGATAACCAGTCAAGAAACCAGGACATTAGTCCAACAATAATAGGAAATGAATTTGGCCAATAACCAGAATAAGCTTGTAAGTGGATTCTTCCCCAGAAAGCCTCCAGAAAGGAATATAGCCCAGGTGATACCTTGATTTCAGCCTTCTAAAGCCCTGAGCACTGAACTCAGTCATACCAAGTCCCAACTCCTGACCTATCAAACTGAGCTAATGTGGGTCTTTTGAAGCTGATCGGTATATGGTAATGTCTCACAGAGCAATAGAAAACAGCAATATTTAGCAATATTTGAAATGCCATAACTTGGACCTACACTTTACTTTTAGGAGTTTATGTTACAGACTCTGAAAAGTACATAACAGTACAGCTTTTTCTAGTAACAAAAACAAAACAAAAAGAAAAATAGGGGAATAGTTAAAAGATTACATTGCATCCATACAATACTGTGCAGCTGTTTCTCTTAATGTACATCTACACAGGATGGAATAGGCAGACCTCTATAATTTATTAGGAGAAAAAAATCTAAGAACCCACAGTATAAACATAAATTAAAAAAAAATTTACTATGGCAATTAGGGAGTGCTTGCATGGCTCAGTTGGTTGAGCATCTGACTCTTGATTTCAGCTTAGGTCATGATAAGATGGTTCATAGGTTCTAACCTATCAGGCTGTGTGTGGACAGTGTGGAACCCACTTGGAATTCTCTCTCCCTTTCTTTCTGCCCCTTGCTCACTCATGCTTGTCTCCCTCTCAAATTTTTAAAAAATTTACCAAAGCAATTGGGAACCCGTTGCTATTAATACAGGAATCAACTATGGGAGTTCCATATAACAGAAAATGCCAGGGGTGCCTGGGTGGTTCACTGGTTAAGCATCCAACTTTGGCTCAGGTCATGATCTCATGGTTGGCAGTACCAGGCTCTCTGCTGTCAGCACAGAACCAACTTCAGATCCTCTACTCCCCCCTCTCTATCCCTCCCCACTTGCACAAGCATGCGCATGCACGCTCTCTCAAAAACATTTTTAAAAAGTGCCAAAAAGGGCACTAGGTGGCTGAGGCAGTTAAGCATCCAACTTCAGCTCAGGTCATAGTCTCGCCGTCTGTATGTTCAAGTCCCATGTTGGAGTCTGTGCTGACAGCTCAGAGCCAGGAGCCTGCTTCAGATTCTGTGTCTCCCTCTCTGCCCCTCACCTGCTCATGCTGTCTCTCTGTCTCTGTCTTTGTCTCCCAAAAATAAAAAAACATTAAAAATTTTTTTAAATGCCAAACAAAATAACAAAAAGTGAAAAACAACTCCACAAAGTGATAGAGAAGCTCTCTAGGATTTAAATTAAAATAATAATAACAAGCACCAGAGATGCACAAAGTTTGCTATTTTTGCTTTTGAGTAAAATTGGACAAAATAAGAACATGTATTCACATTTGCTTATATTTGCATAACAAAACTGCCAACCTACAAAAGAAACTACTGAAAGTGGCACCCTAGAGTGGGTGGGCAGGAAGAGTCATCAAGAACATGAGTGGAAGTGAGATTTCTCACTGTACGTCATTTTAGATTTTTGAAGTTTAAACCAAGATTTTAATGTGCTGTTCAGATTATTTATCACCAAAAACAGTTCTGCACATAAAAACAAGCTCAATTCAAAGCTCAGATTCCAAACCACCACCGCATTAGATCACACTGCTCACAGAGCAGATTTAAATGTAATCATGCCCTCTTTCACCTGCTCACTTCATTCCTGTAAGACAAACCTGGAGGGGACACCACCTCCCTGTCAGTTTTTCATTTTGTGCCCTAGTTTTGCACTTCATCTACCTCATTATTCAAAATATATTTTGGAAATGGAATCAAGGCTACCTAGTTGCCATTCAAGGATCATGGGTCACCCATCCGACGGTCTCCTCAAACTAATCTCTTCTTTTTGACACACAATTCTCTAAGACCACTGTCTACAAGGGAACTGAATTTTTTTTAAGCTGGATAAAAAAGCTAAGAAGGAACATTAAATCTTGCATAAAAAAAAGGGATGAGCAGTTGCTCTCTATAAGGGAAAGTAAACTGAAGAATTTTTCCATCATTTTCCTGGTTTTCTCCCTATAATCAGAGTAAATATTTAAGCATCTCACTTTTATTTACTCAAAGAGAATTATTCATGCAGAAGTGAAAAGCAGTTAGTAACATTTAATTAAAAACCACTCGTGACTGACTACACTTACTGTAATGAGCAATGAGTAATGTATATAAATGGTGCATCACTGTTGTATACCTGAAACTAATACAACATTGTAGGTTGATAACACTTTGATTAAAAAAAAAATCTTTTCCCCAACACTTTCCCTTAATAATTTAGAAAGCTGTTGTAAACAGCTATTCTTTCCAGCCAAAGTTAGGACTACATGTATTTATGGCAGTAATACCAGACAATAATTTGACAGTGTGCAAAGCCCTAAAAATCTACGTATCATTTATTCTAGGAATGTTCACAGTGAAAAACTCTGAAAACAATCTAAATGTCCAGTAATAAAGGAAAAACTAGGTAAACTGTTCTATTTATATAATAAAATATCATACAGACATTTAAAATAAAAAATATCTTTCAGAAGTTGTATATAAAATTCAGCAAACAACACATTATGAAACAGCACTGACACAATACCATTTTTGTTAAAAAAATTTTTTTTAATTTTTTAATGCAAATAGAAAAATCTGGGGGAAAGGACCAAGATGGCAGAATAGCATGGAAGATTTTTTTGGCATCTCTCATCCCTGAAATGCAGCCACATCAACACTAAACCATCTAGCACACCTAGAAAACTGATTTGAGGATTAACACAACAATCTACACAACCTGAACCACAGAACTCAGCAGGTACATGGCACTGAGAGGTGAACTGGGAGAGAGAGAAGCCACCGAGGGCAGGGAGCTGTTTTTGCTTGTGGGGAGAGTACTAAGAAAAGCAACCCCCTACAAGAGCAGCTAGAAAGAAAAAGTAAAAGTGGAAACAACCACAAGGGTCTGAACAAAAAGGGAGAAAGGAGAGGGTTTAAATTCCATTAAGACTATAGAAAGATCAGGAGCACAGTGTCTGAAATCTGTGGCTCAATACCTGGTGGAGCTCTGGTAGGAAGAGCAAATCCCCAGACGCAGAGAGCAAGGTCCAAGAGGTCCTCAGGCCACAAGGAGAGAGGCGGTTCCCCTGCTACAAGGACATTTGATAAAGGCTATGTGGCCTCCCCACAAAGAAAGGTCCAAGCAGGCCCCAGAGAACAATCACATTCACTGGTGTTGGAACAAGGACCTTAAAGATTAAGCCTGGTTCCAGATGTGTGTTGTGATTTACCATAATCCCTGAAACACAGCTACATGATCACGTGAACTTTTTCTGGGGTGGACTGGCACCCAGCCGCAGTCACTGGGCATTGGCAGCAGCACAGTCTGGAGAATGTACAGGGAGGCATGCCAGCACCCCGCCATTGCTCAGCAAGACCCATTCCCAGAAGGTCTGAGCGGGTCAAAGCCACGGTCCCTTAGAAGTGAGGGTTGGGAAACACATCTCCATCTGAGATAAAACTCAGGAGGGAGGTTCCTCCTGGCAGCCTGATGGCTTGGTCATGGGCACTGTAGAAGCGGGTAGTGGACAGAAACCAGAGACAAAGGAGGGGTGCTTGATTGCTGGTCGGGGAGAACACAGTTCTGATACCAGAGACTGGGTAGTCGGGTGATGCCATTTTCACCCCACACACCTACACATGCCACAACAATTCACCCCAGTAACCCAAGCAGCACCAT